CGTCATTTCCACAGGCATTGAGATTGGTGATCTCTCACTCACAAACCTTGACTACGCTGATTGGCGTCGCAGCATCTGCCATGGGCCACTTACAACAGATACAGAATCACCATCATCTTAGTATGACAACCAAGTTCAGGATTTATTCGAGCTGTATCCTTTCCATACTGTTGTATGGCTTCGAAACATGGACACTACGCTGCGCAGGCTGGACAAAGCTGGAGGCTTTCCACATAAAATGTCAATGTCGTATACGGGGCATAAAGTGGAATGGCTTCATCTGTAATGCAGATGTTTATGGTAGTTTGGGTCTAGAGATTACTGGGGCCATTGTCCACAGGCGGTGCCTTATGCTTTTCGGACATGTTGCAAGGATGCCACAAGACATTCCAGTGAACGCCATTCTCCAGGTGACTTGTAACATCCGGGATAAAATTCCACCAACTGAGGGGTGGAGGCAGTCCGGGGGAGACCCCCTAGTATATGGGTTCATGAAGTCTGTTCTGATGTTGGACTCTCAGGCCGTCAAGCCTTTGCAATTGCTCAGTAACAGACCAAATGGCAAACAATCGCTACGGCCAACTGTCTGGCTAAGTGTTGAAGAAGAAGAAGAAGTTTTACAGATAGGAAACAGGCACAGAGTCTGGGCGACTTGCCCAAGATCATACAGGAAGACTGAGGCAGAGAAGAGACTTAAACATAGGTCTCCCAAATTCTAGGCTAGTTCCCTTAATCACTTGCACCATCCTTCTCCTGCTAGTCCTACTAAGACAGCCAGGTAAACCACATTTTGACTTAAAGATTTTTAAAGACTTATATATGGGGTGAATATTTTATTTAGTGTTAAATGTATTTTGTTTGGAAAATTCACATCTTGTTTTCCTGATACCTTTATACATTATAATTCCATCTCAACAATCTCTTCTAAATCTAGGATTCATTCTTCAATAACTATAATCATTATAGAATCCATCCTTGACCTCTGAATTCTTGAATGTGCTCTTCCCTTTAGCGGTCCAAGCTAGCGAGTGTATCTCAAACAAAACAACCTAATGGATACTGCTACTAACTTCTCTGTCACTTTTTCATCACTCTCAGTATGTTTGTATCCCTATAAGTGTATCAATGCTACCATGGACAGCAGGATAATTATTGACTAATTTATTTAACAGAATTTTTCATTTTGGGCTTTGAACAATATCAGGGAAAATCATTTTGTTTGCGGAGTTATTGGGGGGGAAGGGAAAAGTACACAGATAATCACATTTAATTCAATATACTTGGGGTAAGCTTCTGTCGTACCCTCCCTTTACACATTTTCCCCATGCAAAGCTGGGCACTGTAGCAGCCTCTGTACTAGGGGGATTGCAGCGATTGCTCCTTCTTAGTCCATACTGGGCGTTCAAATCACAGCAAAGGGGCAGGGAGGTGGTGAGGTCATGGGCCCTTTGCCCCCGTCCCTGTAGAGATGCTACCCACATGGAGATGGTAGGGCAAGGGATGTGTGCAGTACTAAGATGGAGTGGGGAACAGAATCTGGCCCAGGATCTGCTGTGAGAATCTGAGAGGAGAATTACCTTCTAACAGCAACTAGAGGCTGAATTCTGGGCAGAGTTGTGCCCATGTAGAAGGCTGCGGGGAGGGAAGAACAGCTTATCTGAGCTGCCAGCACAGCTCTGTCACCATTCTCTGAGAGAAATCCATCAGCGTTCAGGCTTTGGAGGAATACAAATGGTTGCCTGTTGTGCACAGTGACTTATTCCACTCATTGTACATTATATCTGAGGGCACAGAGCAGGGCCTGGCACATCAACAGCTCTGCTTACAGCAGAGTTCTTAAACTTTCTGACCCCCGAAACTGCACATCAAGTACCAGAATAACTTATTTCACCTCAGAGGCAGAATACTATTGCATAATATGCTACGAAGACTTGACAAGAAAAGCAGTCAGGTCGGTCTGAAAATGAACTGTTGCAAAACGAAATACATGCGTTCAGACATCTTACGAAAAGCCCGAATAACGGTAACAGGAGAAGAAATTGAAGAAGTGGAACAGTACATATATTTGGGCCAAGAAGTTAATATGCACCAAGGCATGAACGGAGAACTCTCGTGAAGGATTCGGGCAGGATGGTGTGCATTTAATTCCATCAAGGACATCCTCAAAGAAAAAATCGACAAGACCACACATACAAATATCTTCAATTCAACAGTGCTGACAGCCATGCTGTATGGCAGTGAAACGTGGGCACTGACAAAGAGAGAAGTACAGCGGCTGTCAGTAGCTGAAAGGGCAATGGAACGAGCTATGTTGAGAATTTCCCTTCTGGATCATATCCCAGATGAAATGATTAGAGAATGCAGCGGTGTGAAAGATATTGTTGTGGAAAGCAGATATAATAAGATACGATGGGCGGGCCACATAGCACGGTTCATGGACAATAGGTGGACCGCAATCATTACTGAGTGGTACCCGCTAGAACAGAAAAGACCACCTGGTCGGCCTCCAAGAAGATGGGAAGATGACATTGTAAAATGTTTCAGACGAATGTGGAGAAGAATGGCGGATGTGTTGGGATCGGCGCAGTCTTAATGACAGCTGATGACCGATCCATTTAGGTGATCCAGGTGATGCCATGGGTAGCACTTGTCTTTGCCTGGCCTACCAACAGAGATAGGAGGTGCAACAGGAGAACCATCACTGCTGCTTGTCAGGGTTCAGATACAACCAATAGAGACAAGCTGCCAAGTGATGGGCAAGGGCGCCTGTCCCACATAGAAACATGGGATACTTGGAAAGCCTGGTTGTCCCATTCAGAAGCCCCAGCTTTCCTGTAAACCAAGAAGGGGAACCCATATTTATGCCTCCCATGGATCAGCATATTCAGAGATACTAAGCAACTTTGACATTGCAAGCACTAGCAGAAGGTTCTGCATTCTATCTCATGACATGCACATGTAAGGAATTCATACTAAGGGCCAGATACTGCTCTTAGTTACAATGTGGAAATTTGGAATAATTCCACTGAGGATCTTTGGATTGGCACAGGTACAACGGAGGGAAGAATCTGGTCCAATATGTTCAAACTGTCTAATATTAAATCCTAGATTTTCTGTTCTCCAGGGGCATAGGGAGAAACCTGTGAAGCACATAACAGATCTTAAGAGGTTTCAGCCGTCGCATCCACATATTTAAAGCTTTTTTCATGAAAGCTGTAGGAGTTGTTAAGCTGAGCTCTTGTTATCATTGCCATTGTTTTGATGAACTCAGATTTCAAGGTTGAGTTAAACTTTACACATGTACTTAACTGTTTCTGAATCATAACTTGATAAAAGGAGTATAGAAAGAGGAATTGTACTTCCCAGATGTAGAACATTTGAGTCAGATCAAAATGGAGAGGAAGGAAGTTTGGTAGCTTGTGTACTGGATTTACTGTGTTTAATCTAAAATGTATGCTGTTAGATTGGCTTCTGATTCTACAATCAGAGAAAATCAAAGTTCAGTGTGTTTGACCAAATTTTGCCTTCCATTCCAATCATGTAGCCTTCCTGAGTTGTTGTTGTTGTTTGTTATTTGGACTACAGTATTATAAACAGGCCATTTCCTCCCCTGTGTGGATGAGTGGTCCATGTCACAATCTAGCCAAAAGTTTTCTGAGGGAATCTAAATAATAACTGAATCAGATAATGTGGCATTTAGTCTGTTGGCTGCAACTTCGTCATTGCATTTGCCTGCAGTTTTCTTTATATCCTGGTGTGATGCTTTTGTGAATAATATAGTTCATAAAGCTGTTCAAAAACATTTTGTGGTTTTAAAAAAGATTAATTATTTCCTATGTGAAGATTTTTAAAAATTTGGGCCATAATACAGCATTGTTTATTTGAATAGGGATTGCTGTCTTTCCAGAATTTAATAGCAAGGCACTCGGTATACTGCTTTTCATCCAAAGTTCTCAAAGTGCTGTGTAAATGGGTATAAGTGTTGATATTCCCTTTATGTAGATGGGTTAACTGAGGGCAAACAGGTAAAATGGTTCGCCTAAGATCACATGGTGAACTGAACCCTGGCAGACCTGGTATACAGTATCTCAACCCTACACTTTATTCACTAGACCACCCTTACCCCCACAATACTGTACATGGTATAAAACTTCAGTACTCTATATAAAATCTTCAGTTGTGTATACACATGCAAATCAAGAGCAGTGTATAGCCATATGGTAACATGATGTACGCTTTATGAAGGTTATTTTAAATTTCAACTTGGCATTTGTTTAGTGTTTCTGAATGTTTCAGTTCTTACTGACAGAGCTGAAAAGTGTGGTCTAAAAGCATTTCAAATATAAATTCACTTTGGTGTAAAGATTGTAAAGTGTGAAACAGGGCCCAGTGAGTGTTCAGATATCAGCAATGACATTTTGTTGAAGTGTGATGAACAAAGCTAATATCGAACTTGACAAACTCGCTTAGCAAAATAGGCAATCATTGTCCCTTAAATACCTACTGTGGCCAAACAATTCCTGATGTGAACAGAAGCTTTAGAGTGAATATTTCCTCTGTGATCAAATGATTTAGGGCCCAGTCTTGTGAGGTGCTGAGTGCTCATTGAAGTCAATAGGATTTGAGTGTTCAGCACCTCACAGCACCAGCCCTTCACTCCTGATGCTTTTGCACATATCTCAGATATTATGTAGTCCATGGCTCTTGACTTAAGAATTTTTTTTCTTGAAAACTGGGTCGTGGGTGTAAGTGCTAAGTCTCTGTTATGAAAGGTTATCCTCTTTTTTATGCAAATAAATTAAAACAAGCTATATGGCATATTTCCTTCACAAGTAGATTAACTGTGCAGGACTTGACTCACTTATGTGGGTTTCTGTTTGTTTTTCTTGTCCTATCTTAACCCTCCCCCAAACCAAACAAACAATCATCTCTACATCATTAGTATTTATGCTTGCTGAACTCTGATGTACCATGTCTTCCCCTTTTGTTTCCCTCCTTAGATAATCATTGGAGAAACTGCAGTGTTTTGTCTACAGCTAGCTACAAGGGATTTTGAAAACCAAGAAAAAACCATATTAACTGGAGACTGTTGTTATATAAATCCACTGGTGCGCAGAACCATCCGATTCCTTGGTATGGGCAAAGTTAATGCTTTTATAGTTTAATGAATGCAAATAGTCAATATCATAAGATTTCAAATGAGGAAAAACATTATGTAACATCAAATGCTTTACATATAATCCTAACAACACATGTAATGGGTCTCTTCCCCATGTATGCACTCCTCTGTAGACCTAGCACTGCTCTTTTAGGCAGCCAGTGGGAGTTTTGGGTGAGCAGTTATTATTAGCAGCAGCACAGATAGCAAGAACTGGGTGCTGGCAGTGCTTAATTTGTGCCAGGGCTTGCCAGGGCTGAACCCTGCACCTCTAGGCTTGGCAATTCATAGCCCCAGCATCTCTGGGCTTGCTGCATCAGTTATGAATGTAAAAAAATTGCTTGAGCCCTGGAACCTAATTGCTTGAACCCCAGGCCTCTTTCATTACAAATTAAGCACTGGGTGCAGGCCAAGTGAGGGTAGAGACATGGTCAGCAGACTTGCAGCAGGATAGATTGGCTGACCAGGCCCACTGCAGACAGGGAGTATAGAGGTATCTCAGCTCCTAGGGCCTTTGGCTTGGCTGCCAGCAAAGCATGTACACGTGCCCAACTTGAAGTCAGTTGGATTTAATCATGTGCTTAAAGCTAAGCACATGCTTAGGTACTTTGTAATTCAGGCTTTGATTCAGCAGTTATATACACCTAGGGTGAAGCTCTGGCTCCACTGAAGTCAATAACAAAACTCCCATTGACTTCAGTAGGGCCAGGATCTCAGTGCCGCTGTTTAGTGCAGTGTAATCTTTTATTTGGGAAAAAAATACCACTTAAAATATCCATAATATAGTTTCCAAATGTCACTTTTTGGAACCTTTGAATAAATATGGAGATGCTGTAGCAGGGCTCAGTTGGGTCTGTTAGACACAGCCCTGAGCAGGAGGTGATGCCTCAGGGATGCACAATCCCTCCCTTATTGCCCTAGTGTGTAAAAGGAGGGCACAGCTGTGCCATTCTTTACAGCCTGAAAATGTCTGTGGCATCTCTATCTTACGTCAGAGACTGTCATTCCAGCTGGCTAGCAGGTTTATACTAGCAATAATATTGGGCTTGTAGAAATCATTAAGGACCAGACTGTGCCAGGGCTTTGCATGGATCTATGGGGATGGGAAGGGATGGTGTAAACGAGCTACCCCCACTCCACTTGGTTTCTTAATGTAGGGACATGTATAATCTGTGCCTGCACTCCTGCTCATTCAATGAACCCTCGAGTGCACAGAAGCAAAGAGCAATCAGGGAGAGTAGGAAGGAGTAAATTTTACTGTTCTTTAGGGCCAGTGAGGGGGTGAGGCCAAAGCCATGCATCTTCGTCACCTTCCTACCCATTTGGGGGCAGTGTACCCCCGGGGGACTGAGGGAGTCCTTCCGTGCAGAGCCACACAGGCACAATCCACCTTTTAATGATTTCTAGCAATCCAAAATAAATGATCATTGGTATGTAACAGTAACCATCTGGACTTACTGTCTCTGAAGTTAAGAGGTGCAAAGCCACCTCAAAAATAATTCTGGTTCTTCTAAGTTTTTCTGAGATGTCTAAAAAAAAAAAGTGATCGTTAGCCACACAGGTACTTCTGCAGCCCTCTCCTCCATAGTATCCAGGTTCCTCACAGTCATTAATACATTTATTGTCACAACACTCTGCCAGATAAGGAAGTAATATTATCCCCATTTGTACATGGGGAACTGAGACACAGAAAGGCTTAGATGACTTGTCTAGGAAATCTGTGGCTGGGCCAGATTCTGCCAAGTCTTAGGCTAGTGTTCTAATCACTAGATTGTCCTTCCCTCTAGTGCTAGCTACTGTTCCCAGCAGGAATGGTAAGAAACATGATGTGTACATCAAATAGTAGCAATTATCCTTTGAATAATCAGATAAATTTATTTCCACACTAATAAAACAATGCATATAAAAGGCTAATACTTCACTGATATGTGTTTCATGATAAATCCTTTGGCATAAATAATTTCTCATATATACATCTTTACCATGCTATGCTGATGTTTTGATAAACATGCCATGCACAGAAAGGTACCCAGTGCTAGACAGCTGAAGACGGCTTGTGTACAGCTATATTAAATAATTCATCACTTTAGCTAGTTTATACAGTTGAGGGAAAAAAGAGATGCTTGTCGAAAATATGTGTGGTTCCTAGTATGTCTTAAAGTTATTGATCCAGGCCAGACTTTCCTGGTTCTTGAGCTGGTGTGTTGGATGGAAAGCTGAAAGAGCCTGCCCACTGTCCCTTGCACTGCCGCCCATAGGCCAGACAAGTTGCAGTTCCCATGCTCCAAGTGCAAGTACCGCTAATTACCCCAAAAAGTTAGAAAGAGGTAGAGCTAGCATCCTCTTCTCAACCGTAAGAGCTAGTGAAGCAGGCAGCCTGCAGAAGGAAAGAACATATTGCACCTTTCTAGAGGGTGGGGAGAGACTGAACTTCTCCAAGGCGCTGGGAGTTTCGGGCGCCTTCCAATGCCCCTGTGAGGCTGTGCAGGTATGGACCATCTCCAGCACAAGCCTGGAGCTTAATGCCACCATCTGACCCTTAATATCTGTGAGGTGCTTTGAGGTGTCTTGTATGGCAGGACCTATTAAATGTATGGAACAGCTTCCATGTGAAGACAGATTAAAAAGACTGGAAATGTTCAGCTTGGAAAAGAAGTGACTGCGGGGTGGGTGGGGAAGATATGATAGAGGTCTATAAAATCATGAATGGTGTGGAGAAAGTGAATAAGGAAGTGTTATTTTCCCCTTCACATAACACATGGCTATTAACTTAGATGGTCAGGGATGCAACCCCATGCTCTGGGTGTCCCTAAGCCTATGACTTCCAGATGCTGGGATTGGATGATGGGATGGATCACTCAATAATTGCCCCATTCTGTTCATTCCCTTTGAAACATCTGACAGGATACTGGTCTAGATGGACCATTGGTCTGACCCAATAGGGCCATTCTTATGTTCTTATGTATTATTAATATAATAATAAATAATAGAGCTACAATATAATGTACTGGAGTAGGAAATTAACTTTGTTTTCCTCTTTAGGAATCTATGCATTTGGACTGTTTGCTACAGATATCTTTGTAAATGCTGGACAAGTAGTAACAGGGAATCTTGCACCACATTTTCTTGCACTTTGTAAACCCAACTATACAGCACTTGGATGTCAACAGTTCACACAGTTCATCAGTGGTGCACATGCCTGTACTGGAAACCCAGATCTTATTATGAGAGCCAGAAAAACATTTCCATCCAAAGAAGCAGCTCTTAGTGTATATGCAGCTACGTATCTGACTGTAAGTACATCATACCATGTAATTTCATTGTACTTTGAGCATAGACTGTATATTAGCAATCTGAAATATTTTTATTACTTTTTGAATTTAAGATAATTATCAATAATAGGTCACATATCTGAGATTTTCCATCCACTAAAACTTAGATGTGAAATATTGTGTGAAAGTAATGAGGCTCCTTTGAAAATTTGAACCATTAGGCCAAATTCTGCTGTCAGTTACATGGATACAACTCTCACAGGCTCTAGAAGTAGGGAGATTATAAGGAAAACATTGAGGAGGAATTGGTTTTATGAAAAGGAAAATATATTTGTTTGTTTGTTTGTTTGTTTTAAAAAGGCAGTTCTGTCCATCCTTAAGTAATGGAATAGAACAGTGGTCAAAGAGAGAGCCCCACTGGGCAAAATTCTGCACTCCCGTTAGTGTAAATTGTGAGTAACTCCATTAAATTCAGTAGAGTTACTATGGATTTTTGTATGTGCATCTAATCTAGTGGTGTCCAGCCTGAGGACCAGACATCTTTTAGAAAGACAAAGCAGCCGTAGTCAATACTTTGGAGCAGATTTCCTGTCCCGTTCTTCTCTTTTTGTGCCACTCAGATGGTGGTGTGAAGGGAAGGCATCTGTAAATCCCCTGTTGGGGTTCAGGAGAAGCCAGGTGAGCCCTTACCTTGCTCTCTTGGCCAGGGAAGCAGGGAATCAAACAGCCAGAACTGTTCTTTCCTTCCTCTCCTGTGACATAACTGATGGCCAGCAGGGGAACTGCTGAGCATCTGTTGCAGGGCAGGGACAGGAGCTGCTCTGAGTAGACTTGGATCACACCAGAGCTGCTGCAGAGGCTGTAGAAGAAGTGGTGGGAGATAGTGAAGGAGGAAGTAGCAATGAGGCTGATTCAAACATTACAGTTTAAAAATCATAGAGTATAGCTCACAGAGCACATTTTCAATTCATAGCCAAATCCACATTTTTCTTCTTAATATAGTCACCTACAGGGCCTCACTTCAGAGCCTCTTGGTCTAATCTAAGCTCATAAAGTGACATCTGAGCACCAAGGCAAATGTATAGCTCTGTGGTCCTCACAGGCCTGAATAGATAATTTCATCATTAGGTAAACTATTGCCTTCAAATGGGGTAGTCTTTGCTTTGGATATGTTTATTTTTTAAGCTTATTTATATTTAGAAAACCTTTGGTGAGCTGACAATTGATATTTGTCAATCGAATTCTTACTGGCAGGCATCTCTTTATGTCCACTGACCCCCCAGTGCACTTTGAGACATCGTTCCTAGAGTACCTTCTTGTGCTTCTAGAAACTGTGTTAAGGCCAACAAATTAGTGTTTCCAGCACTAAATGTAGCATTTACAAAAAGTTCCTTGAGTACACTAGGAACATTGATCAACATCACAACAAGGAGAGTGTTATCTGCAAATAAGTAGGGAAGCAAACAGTAAAACATCCATCTCAACTATAGGAAAGAGCAACACTCATGTTCAACAATCTCTCTTGCTTTGGGGACATACTTGAGGCATCATTTAATGCATTTAAACTTACTTCTATATCTGCTTCAAGCTATTTTACAAAATAGTTGTAATTTTACATTTTAATTGCTCCTATTTGTCTTATCCATCTGTAAAACTGTACCCATTATAACCATGAATCACAGTAACTAAAGAAAACCAGCTGTTACAACCACTGCAGAGCAAAAGAAAAAAAAAATAGTACTAATACATTTTTTTAAAAGCCAAACAATTCTAGACTAAGTTTCTTAAAAAAAAAATTGTCATGATTTTAAGGTCCAATATCTAGTGAATCGTCAGAGTGAAGTATAAAAGCTTTATTTCACATATCACTAATGTTTCCAACTTTCTAATTGTATAGATCATTTTGTTGTAGCCCTGACAGTTTGCAAACTCCCACTGGTCCAGACCTGAATAATGCAAGTCCTGGTCCTCAGACCTGTGTCATTTTCAATTCCTACTCTTATTTGATCTGAGAAAGAAGAAAACATTTTTATTGTAGGGTTTATTAAGAAGAAAAACTGGTGGCTGTGAGGGAAAACTGATTAACAAGATTGGAGTGCTTGAAGTATTTCTGGTGCAGTTGGTGTGCAAGTGTGCAGGTGACAAGGTCAGAGAACTAAATAAATGGGGTTTATTTCATGTTTTCCAGGTCTCTCTCTAGCTTCAGAAATAAATGGCGTCCATGGGTCTCATGACTACATATGTCTTTGCATAGTATATATCAGTATAGTTAATTATACTACAGTGCTATAAAACAGTGACATGAATTGAATTCTGAATTATCTTGTGGTGGATCATATGTATCCACTGAATGATCATGATGCAATTCACACCCTAAGTCATGACACAACATAGGGAGAAACTTATCCTTTTAATTATTTTTTAATTCATATTTCCTGCTGTCATCTTTCATTTTATAAAAGCTTTGTGGTGTGCATTGTTAAAGCTAGAAAGCCCAGTTTAGTACATATAAGGGTAAGAAGTGCAATGTCCTGGGATTTGGGATGGCTGTTCCTCATATTTATATATATCCACTTCTTGTCAGCTGATCTCCCATAGAGTTATTCACTGGGGAAGAGTTTTAATATGTGTCTGGGGCTCTATTAGAGCCTTGCTAGCAGGGGTAGTCAGAGGATGCACAGAATCAGCTATGTACATTACTCAACCAGGCTGACATGAGCGTTAGCATTACTGGAGTACTGAGCTGAACTCTTCCCTCTGCTTTCTGTTTGTTTCCAGAAGTATTGTTTGGGAATTCTTGCAGAATCCCAGTTATTGCTCCCTTTGCATTCCGGCCAGCTATGCACTAAATACACTTTAGGATATAAACAGGCAAGGAACTATTTCAGTGATTTCACCCTAAGAGCAGGTGGAGTAAACAAAGCAGGATCGGTGTGATTTTTACCAATGAGTGTGTTTAAACCTAAACTCAGGAACCCTACTTGTGCTATCTTCTATCTTGGTCTATCAACAAACATCTATGTCCCCTGTCACCTAGTATCTCAGCAGATTGGCTTGTTAACAATAGCTTCTTTTTTTGGCTAACTCCTTTGCAGTGTGTGTTTTTTGTTTTTTGTTTTGTTTTTGCACGTGGGCGGCTGCTATGGCAACTCTGACTTTCCCTCCTGCTGAAAGCACAGCCTTCTCAAACAATTTTATTTCTAACATTTGAACCTTTCTTTTACTAGGGACTTCTCCAGAAGGCCTTAGCAACTGAAATGTTGGACTATAGCAATGTGGTCTCATGGCTTCCCCGCCCTTCTCCAAACACAGACGATTGCAGTGATTCAAAACTTTCACTCTTTTCCTAGGGTTTTCCCCCCCACAACAAAACCCCAAAACAAAACTCAAAATGAAACAACACAAAATCCAATCCAAACCTTCTATCCAGGCTTGGCTACTCCTGGGCCTCCTCTTTGAAGATTGCTCAGCCCACAGACTAGATCCTCTTTTTCCAGAGAGTTACTCCCCATCCCTAATATCCAGGTATAGTATGAGTCACGTGCCTCAGTAGAACCTCAGAGTTACGAACTGACCGATCAACCACATATCTCATTTGGAACCAGAAGTACACAATCAGGCAGCAGAAGAGACCCCTCCCCCCGCCACACACACACACCAAAAAAAAGCTAATACAGTAGTGTGTTAAACATAAACTACTAAAAAAAAAAGAGAAAGCAGCATTTTTCTTCTGCATAGTGAAGTTTCAAAGCTGTAGTAAGTCAATGTTCAGTTGTAAACGTTTGAAAGAACAACCATAACATTTTGTTCAGAGTTACGAACACTTCAGAGTTATGAACAACTTCCATTCCTGAGGTGTTCGTAACCCTGAGGTTCTACTGTAAATCATCGGAACCCTTTCCCAACAGGATCAACCCTGCTAACACTGTGGGATGTGTCAGGTGACCATTGCCAGTCTGTTAAACAGAAGAAAATAATATCACCAGAATTTTGGCATGCAAACAAATAGCAAAACCTAGTAGAATTCGCTGAAACTTTGTCTGGTCTCATTAAGATGGGGGCATATTAAAGTACATCAGTTATGAAAAAACATAAATATATGCATAACCGAACACATGAATAAGAAGTCATGAGTCTTTTGGGTAAAATTTCAAAACAGTATATTGGGATCTCTCCTAGACTATAATGAGTCTTGTGACTAACAACTGTCACTCTGCTTTGAAAATGTAGGGGCTGATCTTTGCAAGTTGCAACTTCGGAGAGATTTTAGTTCCACTTGTGAGATTTAAAATGTTTTGGATTTACACATCTGAAAAATATTCCGACCATCTTCGGTTTTGTTCTGTTTTTTTTTTTTAATTGCATTGGTGAAGGCCATTAGGCAAATGCAGTTTGAGATTACAGTGCAGTGACTCTGGCAATATCTAGAGTGTTAAGATCTCCTAGATCCCTTTCTAACTGGATCTAGACTGGATATGGTAAGGAATCATCTCAGGACATTTTATTTGACTTTGACAAAACTTTTTGATCCATTGATTACATTTGATACCATTGATTGTGAAGTGTTGACATGGCTGTGATCTAAGCAGGGATGAAATTTGGTGTAAAGTGGCTCCATTCTTTTCTCTGAAATTCTAATGTTGGACACTTGATGTTCTGTCCTGGGAGATTTTCATCATCCTTCCTGTTTAATGCATGTATAAGGCTGTGGGAGGAGACAGTGAGGCAGTTTGGGTTCCATTACCATCAATATGATGGTGACATTCACCTCAGTGTCTCTCTTATCAGATCCAGATGGTGCAGTCTCTCAGCTTTCCCTGTGTCTGCTTAATGGGGTCTGGATAATAGCTAGCTGTCTGAAGCTCAGTCCAGACAAGATGGAGCAATGGTGATAGGCTATGGGAAACATCTAGATGTGATGGTAGTATTGGTATTCACAGCACTGAGAGAGAGAGATGGGGCTGTCCATCTTTTGTTAGTAAGGTGTACAACACAAGGGTCCTTTTGAATCTTTGGCTGCT